TCATGGGGTGACAGTTTCTTCTTCCACAGATGATGAATTCTCATTTTTCCCCTGAATTCCAGCATTATCTCCCTGTTCATCCAGACTGGTCTCTTGCCTGCCAGTTTGATCTTCAGCCCATAGGGACCATCTGCTCCTGTGCCTTAAGGATTTCATTCTTGAAGTGTCCAGCTTTCATAGACCCCTTTGTCCTTCAGTAATGTTTCCCAAGGAGTTCTGCTAACCAGTGTCCTAAACAGGCCAAAATCAGCCCTCTGGAAGTCTAAGGTGGAGGTTTTGCTGACCTTCTTCCTGACTTCTCCAAGGACTGAAAATTCAATCATTTGAGACAGCCTCCAACCATTGTGTCACCCGTCAGTCCTTCTCTGCAAACAGAAAATCCAGCCAGGTATTTCCCCTGGTTGGCTCAGTAACCAGCTGGGTTAGGAAGTTATCTTCCACATCCCCCAAGAACCTCCTGGATTGTTTCTCCTCTGCTGTGTTGCACTTCCAGCAGACATCTGGTAAGTTGAAGTCCCCCATGAGAACAAAGGCAAGCGATCATCAAACTTCTCTCAGTTGTTTGAACAACACTTCATCTATAGCTTCATCCTGGCTGGGTGGTCTATAACAGACTCTTAGCAGGATATCTGCTTGGTTGGCCTTCTCCCTGATCTTCACCCACAAATATTCAGCCTTCTCCCTCACAACATTGAGTTCAAGTCAGTCAATGCACTCCCTGACATATAGCACAACCCCACCACCACTTTTTCCTTGCCTATCCCTTCTGAAGAGCCTGTAGCCATCCACTGCAGCACTCCAATCATGTGAATCATTCCACCATGTTTCTGTGATGGCAATTATGTCATGATTTCCCTGCTGCACAATGTCTTCCAGCTCCTCTTGTTTGTTGCCCATGCTGCGGGCATTGGCATAATTGCATTTGAGTTGCCCTGTGGATCTGGACTCCAACAGCGGCATGCTACCCTGTGGCTCATGTCTAGCGAGCCTGGTGTTATCCTCTTCCCCCTTCAAACCTAGTTGAAAGCTCTGTCTATAAGCCCTGCTAGCTCTTGGGCAAGAATCCCTTTTCCCCTTTGGGACAGGTGTATCCCATCTGCTGCCTGCAGGCCTCGTGCCATGTAGACTGACCCATGGTCAGAAAATCCCAAGTTATGGCACTGACACCAGTCACGGAGCCAGGAATTAATTAATGTGATTTTTCTGATTGTCATTGATTGTGACTGGCAGGAGGGACTAGAACACTACTTGGGCTCCCAAACCCTAAACCAGCTGCCCCAAGGCCCTGAAGTCCTTCTTGAGTCTCCTCAGGCTTCTTGAATTGATTCCCTCATTGCCCACCTGGAAGACTAATAAAGGATAGTAGTTGTGGGGCCGTACCAGATGAGTGAGTTTTCTGGTGAAGTCCCTTACCCTGGCCCCAGGGAGGCAGAAGACTTCCCTGTGAAAACCTTTTCTACAGTGCAGCAGCATCTGGCTCCTGTCAAAGAATGGACTAATTACTTTTTCAGACTAATCTGACATAAGAACTCCAATGTTAGTAAGAAACGGAAAAGGGAAAAAAAGCTGAGCTCCTGCCTTCTATTGCCCCAGTTCTGGTTTCTGATCACTGGGCAGGAGCTCTGAAGTAGATCTGAATCACACATTTCATTCTCAGTATTTGATCTACATTGTTAGGGTTGAAGGACTTTGTGCCATGAAGAATTGGGTAGTTTCATAGATTTGGAAAGAGATCTGTATGCAAAGTAGGTGAACCAGTCTGGTTCAGACACTGAGTCTGGGCATGCTTTTCCCCCTGTGATCTCTCTTCCCTTCCAAGCCACCCTTCTCACCTTAATACTCATCTCCCACAGTTTTGTTCAAGTTTCTCTCCTAGTGTGATGGCTAAATGATTCTATCAGACCACTTTTTCCCTGCTTCAGCAAGTTCATGCTTCCCTGGCCAGAGAAAGTCCCCTGCACCAGCTGTGTCCACTGCCACTCACTGCCACAGTGTCTCAGGTGTGAGGGCATCCCCCCATAGAACATGGCCCCTGGTGTCCCAGGCCCTGCAGGTCTGGTTCCCAATTCTGGCACTTTGCACTCTGGTGAATTATCTGTATCTCCAGAAATGGCTTCAATGCAGGATCTGCCTTTAGCCAGTAAGTGTACCTCTCCAGCTTACTCCTCTCTCTTTTTCTATTCTTTATTTTCCTGAGTTCATTCCTTCTGTCTTGCTCTTCCTTCTCCAGGAAGAACCCTATTCCAATTAAAAAAAAAAAATAAATCTCTACTTCTTGTGGGTGCCAGTAAGTTTATTTTACTTTTTATTATTTCGGCTTTGTTTTTTGATTCTTCTTTCACTGCCTTTCTATCTGCCCATCTCTCCTTCCTTTTCCTGCCCCTCTCTCTAGGAAGGATGCTTTGCTGGGGCTGATTGATGGCCCATTAGAACAAGATTAACAGGTAGAGGCTTAACTAGAGAAACAGATGTCAGGGAGGGAAGGAGAGACAGGGGAACAGAGGACCTTTTCCACAAGTGAGATGCAAGCATGGCTTTTCAAACATCAATTGCTCAAGAGAGAATGTGTGGACAGCAGAGGGGAGGATAATCCACCGTCATAGCCTGTTGCTTTTATACATTGCTCATTCTCACTGACAATCATTTGATTCAGGCTGAAACTGGCATCTCTGTTTAGCATATGGACCTCATGTTCCCAGCAAGTGTCATTACTGGCTGGCTCTACATGAAGCGATCTTCATCTCTCCCTTCCAGTGTGCACTTGCTTGTTGTTTCTCTCTCTTCAGTCTTATCTCCCCTTCTTTCTCCCTCCTTTTCAGGATGGTTTTGTTATTCAAATGTAATTATGGATGAACATTGAGCCATCTCCCTTTTTTCTAATTTTAAAGAAATTGAGTATTTCAATAAAAAATCTGCAATAAGGAGTGCAAGAAATTAGCAAAGGGTATGGAAAGCCGCAGATGTGAAGAGCAGTTTCCAGTCCCTTTGCTCAACTGGGAGGATCTGGGCCCCTGGGGGTCCCAGAGCAGGGGTTAAAACAGCCCCCTGCTTCAGGGGGAGGGGGAGGCCCAGAATTGCATTCCTCCCTCACTTCACCTTCCAACAGATGAATATGTAACAGGCACAGCCAACACAAAGGCTGCTCTTCAGTAAAACAGCAATTTTGCAGTCCTCAGAGAGAAACCATGACTGCCCTTCTTGTGGGCACTAATAATGAGTTCATGGTAAAAATGCTGGTTCTGAACTGTAGGGTGTGTCCTGTCTTGCCTCAAACAAGCTTTTGCAGTTTTGTTCACACCTTTTTTACACAATGCTTAAAAGAGTGGCTTGGTGTCCACACATAGATCAGACCAACATGAAGGAAGAAAGGAGTCTTCAGACACTTTTTCAGCATGTGTATCCAAACAGTGAGAACAGTACTGCCTGCTACCACAGAACCTGGATCAGACCCACCTTGAAGGCTTGGAGCTGGGGCTCAGTGTCACAGTGGCACAGTAGATTAAACATCAAATATATAACTTTGTCTGAGGTGTGACATACCTGTTTCAAGATAAACATGGAAATTTGGGCCAGAGGAGCCATGAAGGGGTGCCTTGGACCTGCCATGCCTTGTTCCTCTGCTTGGGAAGGAGGCACATCTTCACCTGGAGCAGGTCCCCACAGCTGCTTCTTGGGAAGGTGATGTCCAGCATCAGGATAATTGCCCTAGTAGTCTCATGCAGTTTGAAGGCCATGGGTTGTCTAGTTTGGCTCCAAGATGCAGCCCATTATACTGGGAGAATGTTTTTCTCTCACTTGTTCAAGACCTCAGCCCTTGCTGTTTGCCCTGATGCAGTCCTAGTCCCTGGGCAAGAGGTGCTTTGAGCAGGTGAGTCCATCCCGAACTCAGTTTGTCCCTGTTTCACAGGGATGGCAAGATCCTGGCATCCCTCATCAATGACATCAGCGCATCCTCTGTCTCCCTCTGAAGCAACATTTCATTCCTGAGGAAACGGTCTAGACCCTTTCCTGACCTTGTCAGAGAAGTTTCCAAGGCTGCACACACTGAAGAAAAAGTCATTAATTCAGAAAACAAAAGGAGAAGTAATTTAATTTGCTCAGACTTGTTCCACTGATGGAGTCATTAAAACACTTTCTTTCATATACACAAACACATCGGTCTCTGCTGGAGAAGGCTGTTTCACAGGGGCTGAAAGAATGTCAGACTAAAGAATGCCTGAGACAGGGTCAGATTGCTTCTTTTTTTCCCCCCTTTTTTCTTTTCTTCTTTTTTTTTTTTTTTTATTTCCTTTCAACACAGTCATCTTCTGTCATCCCTGGAGTCCATTTTTCTCTTTTCCTCACTCTTTCTTGCTCTTCCTGTCCCTTACATGCAGGTAATGATTGAGATCACTCTAAGGATAGAGGCATGAGAGAAGATGGCTGGAGCAAGAACAGAGAATTAATGTATACCAAGGATTTGGTGGGAAGTGGGGAAAAGAAAAATAATAAAAATAAAAACAGAGGAAAAAGAGGCAGAGAAGTGCAGTGAGATTTAGAGGAAGGTGGGCAACTGTTTTTCTATCATTCATATGTTTCCAGATGGTCATTTGTGGAAACCTTGGAGGAAGAAGTCCTTGAAGAAAGGGGTGGCACACAGATCAGCCACATTTGCCCTGCCTCAAAAAGTACTCAAGTTCTTTGCACAAAGTAAAGCAGCCTTTAGATGGGGGACGAGGGTGTGCAGTGGGATGTGGGAGACGCTTGGTCAGCCTTGGCTGTGTAAATGGCAGTGCAGCTCCTGACTATCTCTAGTAAAAGAATTTGTTAGGGAAATAATCTATGATAAAGGTAGTAAATGTGCAAAGGGATTGGAGTGCAAGTGGCTCTATCCAGCTCTGATCTCGTCCACGGAAGCCTCTCAACTCCCTACAAAGCCTGTCCCCTGGGAAGGATGACACTATTTCCCATAATTTCAGGGCTCTTTCAGTTTTGACTCTCTAAGTTTGCTTTCTCTCCAGCCAGAGGAATTGACCAACATCTTGGAGATCAGCAACGTTGTCTTTACAAGCATGTTTGCCCTGGAGATGATCCTGAAACTTGCTGCTTTTGGTCTCTTCGATTACCTCCGCAACCCCTACAACATCTTTGACAGTATCATCGTCATTATCAGGTGATAAGGGCCTTGGGGATCAACTGAAACATTCATAGTAAAGAGTTCCACAGTACTTGCACATTTCCATGTGCCTTTTCAAAAAGGATTTAGCACCTATACAAGGAGGAGCTGAGCTGATGCACAAGACCAAGAATGGGGAGACCAAGATATCTTTTCCCAACATCTGGTGACCCTAGGCAAGCCGCACAGCATTTCTGCCCCTCAGTTCTCTCCTCTGTAGAATGGAGGCAATTGTGATTGCCTTGTAAATCCACAACAAATATTAGCTGTGAAATATTTTTAAAATGTTTAATGTGTGATAGAAGAACCTGTCTTGCTGGAATTTAATGCTGCAGTCCTTTCCTCATTCCTGCAACATGCAGTGCCAAATTCATCTTAAGGGAGAAATGTAACTTTCTACAAATAAGTACATGCCTATAGTATATGCTTCTAATTCTATCTTGCTCAAACAGATTTTCCTTCTGACCCCTTTATTCTTGCTGCCAATGTAGGGGTGAAAACTAGGGTTAGCATTGCTTTTACTCTCTCTCTTCTGTTCATTCACTTGTCTTTCATTTTGTCCTTTGCACTCCCTGTGCCTCCCCGGGCCACAGCATCTGGGAGATCATCGGCCAGGCAGATGGAGGGCTGTCTGTGCTGAGGACTTTCCGTCTTCTGCGGGTGCTGAAGCTGGTGCGTTTCATGCCCGCGCTGCGCCGCCAGCTTGTGGTGCTGATGAAGACTATGGACAACGTAGCCACCTTCTGCATGCTCCTCATGCTCTTCATCTTTATATTCAGGTGAGGAGGCAGTTAGTTGCCTCAAAGTGTTTCAGAGAGGCACTGCATGGCTCATGTGGACAGCAACTTTAGAGCATGATTGCATGACTCATCTTGCTCATTGCTCTAGGCTCAGGCAGCAGTGACAAACGTTTATTTGTTCATAAGGGCTGAGGTTACTGCTGCACTAAATTGGGTTTAGCAGCTGAAGATTTGGTCTGAATGGGTTGGAGAAACACTGCCACCAAATGCACATGTTGAGCATAATGTCCCATCGTAGGATAGGTGAAGTCTCTTGGTAGTCAGCACTGGCTGCAGGAACAGTTCAGACTGGAGACTGTCAGAAAGGTGGCAGGAAGCAACCAAGAAAGTTTGTCAGATGCAATGGTAGGGAGGTGAAGAAAAATGAAAGCAAACAAGAATGATGGAAAGAGCAGATCTGAAGGACAGGTTAGTGGGAATAGCTCTGAAGTAGTACAGGTGGAAAGCAAGGGATTTTGGTGAGTTATAAGGGTGCAATACACAGCTCCTTCTTCACAGGCAGGTCCCAGAGGTCTGGCTGTGTTGTTCTACCCCTCGCTTTTTTCGTGTTACATTAGATTATCGGGAGGAAAAAAGAATGACTCTGATGGGCTCATTGTGATGGCAGAGAT